CCGACCCGGCAGGAAATTCCACATCGGCTCCCTGATCCCCGGCCAGCCCTGGCCGGCCAGGCGGCGGTGCCCGCCCCCCGCGCCAGACCCCACCCTCCGGCCGCTAGGCCGCCCCTCGGCACCGCCCCCACCCCCACGCGCGCGTGCGGGCTGGAGGGTGAACGTACAGGATCCGGCCGTGAGGGAGGACATCTCAGTCCTGGCGACTTTTCCTCTCCTCAAAGGCATCCACTGGAAACGTGGCCCCTGTCCCAGTCTCAGCGCCTCTGAACCGGTCAGGGATGGGGTCCATAAACGGCCCGAGATAGGGCTCCGTATAGTGCTAGCCGGCCCTGCGGAGTGAGATGCTGGTACCCGACGGCCCGGGTTTGGACTTGAGGTTGGGAAAGAGTGTGTTCACAGCAACACATATAGAATGGTCCCGCATGTGGAGGTCAAAGCATCGTTTGATCTTAGGAGACGGAGACCCCAATATGTGGTGAAAAGGGCGGGAACGTAGAAGGTGGTGGAGACAGAGGATGGAGTTGAGGGCCCTAGCACCAGGTGGGGTAGGTGACAGAGCAGTGACCATAGGATAGGTGGTGAGGGGTCAAGTCTGAGCGAGACTGGGCCAGGAAGCCTGGGAGCAGGCAGGAACTCTGTTGAGCTGAATGAAGGTGCTCAGCCTTGGAAGGCACTAGGATGGCAGAACTAATGGTGCGTACAGTGCAGGGAGGGACGCTGGAAGCACAAACACCCTTGTGGAGCAGACCTGGGGACGGTACAAAACGGGGACAGCCAGGTCCCAGGCAGGATGGAGTCTGTCTTCTGAGGAAATAGGCTGTGGTCCCTAAATAATGGGGCGGGAAGGGATCTTGGGCTTGGAGAAGGTGGGAGGGGCTGTAGGCCTGGTCCCTAGGGAGTGATAGGGGGCTGGGGCTGGTCCCCAGAGAGAACAGGAATGACCAAGGGAAGAGAGGCAATGGGGGAGGTAGGTCCTCAGAGTGGGAGAGGCTGAAGGCTAGTCCTCAGAAAGTGGGAGGGACCGGAGGTGAGGCTCTAGAGTGTGAGAGGGGTGGAAGACTCTTGCTGCCTTCTCTTGTGTGATAGGCGGCCTGTAGGTTCAATTCTCCCTGAATTAAGAGGGAAGGCAGTAATCACTGTGGAAAGTGCATTGAGTAGCAGGTCTTGGAACAAGAGCCCCCCTGCCAGGCAGAAGGAGTGCTTAGACAGGTCAGCTGAGGAATCAGGGTGGAGCCTTCAAAGGCTTGGGGCCCCATCCCACCCCTAGTGCAGGAGGTAAGGCCTGGCATCAGTGGGCTTAGTTGGCCACCATGAACGCAAGGACTATAGCCATGTCTGGTTCAGCTAAGCTGGGCACAAAGCACCAACTTTGGCAGTACCCTTACAGTGCTGGGGGAGTTTGCTCTGGCTAACATGAGGTCCCTGTGGCTAGTGTCTACCCTAGTGGCTTCTATTTTAGAGGTGCTGACCCTGGAAGCTTGGAGGGGACACTGGAGGGCCCAGATGGGTTTAGTTCATTACCAGATATCCATCAGAAACACCATCTTTACTTGCTTCCTCCCTGGACCTTCACTCACCCCTCCCATACTTCCCACCTGTATGAAAAGCACCACCTAGACCATCCTGGTCATTATGGATAATGCTCCCACCCCATGACAGAATTTCCTAGAGACCCCAAATGCTATCCTGTCCCCTATCTTTCACCCTGCAGTGATCTAATTTCCTCTCTGGCTATAACCCACTGCCCTCAGGACCAGGACTGTCCCCAACCTCAGCCACATTTCACTCAGTCCATGGTCCCCCTGCATCTGTACATCAAGCTGCTCTTTAGTCAATGGTACCCAGAGGTGTTGAGGGCAGTGTCCACTGCACTCCACTGGGAGCTGGGAAGTCCATGTGGAATGGATATCCCCAGACCAGGTCTGTGCTAGATGGGACCACCAAGAGTTTCAGACCCACAGGTACTCAGATACCACAGGCCTCCAGCTGGGCCTGAACTCAGTCCTACAGCTAGCTATACTGGTTGTTTCAGCCTGGGTGGCTTCTGAGGAATGCAGCCTTGGAGGTCAAGGATTCCATGAGCATGAATGTAAGGGCCTGAGTGCCTAGTCCAGCTGGACAGCTGAGACCCAGGGCAGAAGGTGCTGGGTGTGACTGCCTCCAGGTTCATCAGTGACAGGGTCAAACTGCTGCCTCTCTAGACTCCCCAACCCTGTGCTACACAGAACCTCAGGAGCCCCTTCCTAATCCAGGCAAACCTGTGATCACCCCTTTGATGGCTCAGTAGGGATAGCATCAGCAAGCTCAGCACACAAAACACCTCTTCAGCTCCACTTTTAGGGAATTTTCTGCAGGAACTGCTGTCCTGACACAGGAAAGGCCTGGTCCTGAGTTCTGAAGATTAGGGTCCTTACTGAGCCCGTGTCCCTATACCCAACCCCTGGGAAACAAGGGAGATGACACCACGGTGTCATCTTGTCCCATGGAAGTGATCCACTGGAGTCAGTAGTGGGTTACAGGTATATGTGACCCACACAAGGGCTAGGAGCATGGTACTTCTCTGGGTATGGAAAGGAACACACAGGGTGTGTGATGGCCAGCTCCTCTCCCTTGTTACCTCCATCAATCCCTGCTGTTACCATCAATGAACCCATACACTGCTCCCTTGTCTTGCCTGCCATCCACCAGCATAGCAAGCTTTGTGGTCATCTCCACATGCTACTCAGTCCACCCAAAATATCTTGTGTGAAGGGTGGAACTCCACAGCGCTGGTTCAAATGCTGCCTGGTGCCCATGGGGAAACCTGCTGGGTGGGTAGGTGAAGGAGGTATGCGGCTGTGAGGTGGTTTTGTATGGCTCAGAAGCTCCGCCCTTGGGTGGATCTGAAAGCAATGTGTGAAACTGTAGACCATGAGGGTTGCTAGCCCTCTAAGCCAAGGGAGTGCCTCTGGACAGCCACCTGTCTGGGACTGCCCCATCATGCCCTTTAATTCCTCTGAGGCTTTGCATCCTGGGGCTGGGGCTGGGGCTGTCTTGTAAGGCCCAAAGATTTCTAGTGGGAGATGGACTGGGCTCAACCAGCTGCCATGGTCAGGAGTCTTGCCTTGTAGAAGTAGCCACTCAGGGCTGGTACAACCACGTGATGGGACAAGATGGATCACCGGTCCCCAAGTGACGGCTGCTTTCCTCATGCCAAAATCTGTCTGATCACAACAGTTCTAAGCTGGAAACTCACTCAGGCCTGATGCCACCTCTGTGTTAAAAGGAAGTCAGGCTGCAGCCACAGAGAAACCACAAACACCTTTTATAGGATGTTTTATTTCATTTACCAATAACATGAGGTCAAAAAACCCAGCTCTAAGAGATACTTTTCCTGCCAGAACCAGTCCCACCAAACAGCTTTGTGTGTGTCCTCTTTCTCACAGGTCTCCACTGGGAGCTGTCATGGAGGATGCCATGTGGAGGCTATCTTGCAGTTCCCAGGCTTGCCCTGCACAAGCCCACAGGAAGGGGCCCAACATGCTCAGCCTCCCCACCAGAGTCCACCAGTCCCAGGCCCCTTTGGAGAAGGGTAGCATCTCAGCTGGGGCCATGTGAGGCTGGTGATGTAAGCAGGATTCTTGCAGAAGAATAAAGGTCTGGTAAACTCTTTCAGAAGACCAAGCCTCTCATGACCATTTTCTGCGATAAAGAATGCAATCCACAGCAACATCGCATAAGCCTCCTGTGCCTCTGGAAGGCTGACACAGCATTGACCTGAAGAAAGGGTGGCAGGGACAGGCGAGCCACCAGGGCGAAGTGAGGCCTCCTATGCCCCTGGACCTCTCTGCTCTTCACCCTGGAGAATCCCCAACCCTTCCCTCTGAAGCAGGCACTGGAGCCTAGTCCTCACTGGAGTTGTCAAACTCCTCCCAGTCAGACACACTCATCACCTCCGAGGCAAAGTCTGGGTCGGCCTGGCTGCGGTCGGGATTCCAGTCGGGTGTTCCTCGGGGTGGCTCGAGAAGCAGGGAGCGGGGCAGGGTGAGCACACAGGCAGCCAGCCCCGAAATACAATTGTCCAATTGTGGCCCCTCCTCCCAGCAGTCCTTCTCTGCATCGTATATGTGCACATAGCCTGTGCGGCTGCCACGGTTATGTGAGCGACCACCCAGCACGTAGATTCTGTTGTCCAGCACGGCCATGCCAGGCTCACCATGCCCAGCTGGGAGTGGGCAGACTGATGACCACTGGCCAGATGTGCAGCTGAAGCAGGCTACCTGCAAAGCAATGGCAGGGTGAAAACCAGCCCCCAGGATAAGACTAGCACAGGTAACGTAACTCCTTAACATGCCCCAAGATTCAGCCCTAAGTCTGTGGGGAATGGCTGGTGGTGGGCAGGAAAAGTACCCCTGAAGAATGGCACATGGCCACATAGACTGGGGTGTTGCTTGATCTTGTCTGCTTCCTGGTCCACTTGCCTCGAACTGTGTTGCTTCCCTTGCCCCCACAGCTACCCTGGTCCCTTGGTCTGCCTCTGGTCCCCAGGGTGTGCAAAGTGTGTCTCGGCCAGCATGTCTGAGGGTTTTGGCTTTCTCCCCTCTTCAGAATGGAAACTATGACCCTTGCTCACACATTCCACCTACAGGACAATGTTCAATCTATTGGCAACGCAAGGGACACAAGTTATCAGACAGGAACAAATGTTCAAATGTTAATTAGCAACTGTTGTGGGGTGGATCACAAAATCCAATCCTGGTGAAGCTGCACTACCAGGAGGACATTTGACCCTTCAGAAACATATTTGGCAATATGCATTCAGAGTCACAGAAAAGATCTTCTTGACAGATTCATTGCTTTTGGCTCTCTAGCTGTGGTATCTAGGCAGATTAGTGTCTTCCAAAGAGATATCAACCCAAATCCCTGGACCCATACACATACAAAAGTACATGGCCTAGGTGGGGATGTTATCTGGATTATCAGCTATTCACACAAACCCACTGCTACTCAGTGTGAAGAGGAAGCATACCCTGAGGTAAAGAGTGTAGCAGCTTAGAAGGCACCAAAAATGGCCTTCTAAGTTAGCAAGGAGACAAGGACCAGACAGACCTACAACCTCAAAGAATTGAAATCTGTCAACAGGCCAACTGACCAAGAAGACCCTAGACAACCTCAAAGAAACTTAACATGTCACAACATACCAAGAGAATGAAAATCCAAGAAGAAAATGGAAACATAAAAACTATGAGGAAACTCACAAGAAAGAACACAAAAATCATTTACTCAACAAAGGAAGACACACAGAACAAAGAAGCAGCAACATCACAAAAACAACCAAACATAATGGCAGCAATTAATCAATACCTATCAATAATTACACTGATGTAAATGGATT